TGTATATATATATATATATATATATATATATATATATAAATGCTAACACACATATATATACATAAATATATACACACACAAAACACATATACACAGACTGGGCCACAGCAACGCATGGCAGGGGATGGCTAGTATATATATAGTATATATGCTAATACATATATATATACACATATACATAAATATATACACACACAAAACACATATACACAGACTGGCCCACAGCAACGCATGGCAGGGGATGGTTAGTGTGTGTGTGTGTGTGTGTGTGTGTGTGTGTGTGTGTGTGTGTATATATATATATATATATATAAATGCAAACACACATATATACACATATACACAAATATATACACACACAAAACACATATACACAGACTGGGCCACAGCAGGGGACAACCAGTGGTGTAAAAAAATAGTCCCCCTTATATAACATGGCAAAATTAGTATACTTCTTTGGATTTAAAAATAATAATTTTCAACCCATAAATGGTTGCTTCTGTGAATACCGAGGACCAATTGTAGCTCATTGCAGCCTGCCTCCAAGAATTCACACACACATACATACACACTTGTCATACTCTGCCAGAATCTCCACTGGACTAAACAAATCTACAAAACACTTTCGCATAGCCTCCAGGGTGTTTGTGCCCCTTGCTTTCCAGCAACGTGAATGTCATTGAATAAAAATCTCAAAAAGAAAATCAGACAAAACCTCTGCGGCATTCACTCATTCCCGGCTTTCTCGTACTTCTTTCAATGCAAGCATATCTCTGGCATCTTCAGCACCATCCCCTTTCCACCTGACTGCAACCTGTCGCTGACTCTCCTAGCGGAAAATCTTCCTCCAATTCCCATTCAAGCTACATCTTGGCATTCCTTTTCACCAACAGCCCCCGAGACATTTGCAGATTACTTGGTAGCTCTCTCCTCCAGGGATTGCACAATTCACTAAGGATACTGACCAGATGGACTATTTCCAGGGAAGGTTGACCAAAACAATCAAAGGTCTGGAAACCATGAATACATATGAGGAGCAGCTTAGGTAGTTGGCAGGTTTACCTTGGAGAAAAGAAAGTTGAGATGGGACATAGGGGGAAGCCCCGCTATCTTCACAGGTTTGACTGGCAGGGACGAGACAGAGCTTTCTCGGCGGTGGCCCCTCGGCTGTGGAATGCCCTCCCCAGGGACATTAGATCGGCCCCCACCCTCTTAACGTTTCGTAAAAGAGTCAAAACCTGGCTATTTGAGCAGGCTTTCCCAAATACAGTGTAGGAGATAAACTCTGATCTCAGAATGGCTGGACAACGTGACTGGATAATGATTTGATAATGAAATGCGGAGGATTTATTGTTTTATGATGTTTTTATTGATATTATTATGTAGTGAATTTTTATCTATGTTTAAATGTTTTAGCTATTTTTATATTGTTATGGGCATCGAATTGTCCCATTCTGTAAACTGCCATGAGTCACCCCCGGGCTGAGAATGGCGGTATAGAAATATAGTAAATAATAAATAATAATAGTGATCATGTTTAAATACTTAAAAGGACGTCATATTGAGGAGTGAAGAGAGGAGGGTGTCATATGTTCTGCAGTTGATGGTGGTTGGTGATGGAAGGGTTAATGTGAGTATTGGTTCTAGAAGGTTTGGTGATCTGCAAGTGGGAGTTCATGGGTGAAAGCAATTAGGGGTGGAGGTATGCAGGAGATGGGTTGCAGCTGGGTGTTACTGGATTTAAGGAGCTAACCTTGAGACTGATCTTTGGGAGAAAAGTATCTGTTGTATTTTGGTGGTGGATGCTGCTGGTTTTTCCCCCAGGTCTGTTAGATTTTTTCGGTATCCTGACCTGTCTCCTGTAATCTTGGAACCTTGAACCTTTGGCCTGGCTTTTGACTACGGTATAAACTCTTGATCCCTGGACTTTGTTTATTGAACTCTCGGCATTTGACCACGGAACTGGACTCTTTTGACTACGGAGTTATTTTTGCTATCAGTTTTTGTTTATTCTGTGGCTGGGTGCTATCTTTATGTTTTATGTTTTGGTCTATTGAAACAACCAGCATGTAAGTGCTGTTTTAATTAAACTATTTGATAAAACTGGGAGTTTGGTTCATCTCTACCTAAATAAGGTAGAGCCCTGGCAACGTGACAGAAGGGGATGACGACTTGTTTTCTGCAGCAATGGATTCAAACTACAAGAAAAGAGATTACACCAGAATATTAAGAATTTCATGATGGTAAAAGCTATTCTGCAGTGGAATATAATGTCTGGGAATCCAGTGGAGTGTCCTTCTTTGAAGATCTTTCAAACAAAGGCTGGATGGCCATCTATTGAGAGGGCTTGGGTTATATTTTCCTGCATGGCAGAAGTACTGGGTAGCACTTGAGGTCTCCCACCTCTACAATTCTATGACTGAATCTGTGAATATGTGAAGGTGAGCTGTATCTTGCTGCAGCCTGCCTCTAAACCCCCTTCCATTTGACAAACCCAATTTCCAAATCTCTAAAGCACTGCTGCGTAGCCCCATGTCACCTTCAGCCTGCCAGTGCCTCCAACAGCTTCAGTGCAGAGTTAAAAATCCTAAACAGAAATGTCTCCTCATTCTGACAAAACCTTTGCAGCATGCCTTTCTCTTTCTTTGGCATCTTCAGCACCTTTTCTCCTCCTGTGGCCTCTCTCTTCAGCACAATCCCCTTTTCCACCTGACTGCAACCTGTCGCAATCCGGCTCCCTTTTGACTCGAGTGTTTCTTCTATCAGACCATGCAATTTACCTGCCAGCCCCCTTCCTCGAGGGATTGCAAGTCCTGATCTGGTGCCTTTTCCGTCTCAACTGCCCTTCCCGAGAAGCAAACGTTGCAGCACCTGTCTTAACACCAAAGATACAGGCAGCGGTGGCATATCCTTAAATGCACAAGAAGCCAAGGCACACAAAAAAGCCTCTTCTCCAAAAGATATCCTCACGGATTCACCCCACTGCTCCATGAATCCTCTGGCACCTTTCAGCTAGGTGTGTGCCCTTCTCCTTTGCACCTTACCTGGTCAGTTCCATCATACCTCTGCTCCCATATGGCAGCCACCTCCTTCTCTTCTATGCCACCTTGTCAGCCAATAACAGCAATAATAATAATAATAATAATAATAATAATAATAAGCCACCTGCCACTTCTTCTTCTTATTTATCCGCTTCTATGCCACCTTGTCAGCCAATAATAATAATAATAATAATAATAATAATAATAATAAGGTACCTGCCACAACCTCTTCTTCTTTATTCTCCTCTGTGGCACTTTGTCAGCCAATAACAACAACAGCAACAACAATAATAATATAATAGGATGCTACCTTGTCAGGTAATAATAATGATAATAGTAATAATAATTCAATATTATAATAATGGTATGCCACCTTGTCAGCCAATAGTAATAATACACCTGCCACCTCCTCTTCTTCTTAATCCTCCTTTATGCCACCTTGTCAGCCAAAAATAATAATAACAACAACAACATACTTTTATCATGTCAGAAGCGACTTGAGAACATACTGCAAGTCACTTCTGGTGTGAGAGAATTGGCCATCTACAGAGAAGTTGCCCAGATGTGGTTACCATCCTGCTGGGAGACTTCTCTCATGTCCCTGCAAGCTGGAACTGACAGACAGGAAGTCACCCCCTCTTGCAGATTCAAATTGGCAATCTTCAGGTCAGCAACCCAACCTTTAGGTCTGTTGGCTGACAAGGCAGCATACTATTAATATTATAATTGTAGAATGCCGCCTTGTCAGATAATAATAATAATAATAATAATAATAATATAATAATAATAATAGTATGCTGTCTTGTCAGACAATAATAATACTATAATAATAGTATGCTGCCTTGTGAGACAACAGTAATAATACAATATTATAATAATAGTATGCTACCTTGTCTGCCAATAATAATAATACAGTATTATAATAGCATGCTGCCTTGTCAGCCAATAATAATAATAATAATAATAATAATAATATATTACAATAATAGCATGTCCTCTTGTCAGACAATAGTAATATAATATTGTAATAATAGTATGCTGCCTTGTCAGCCAATAATAATAATAATACTAATATATTATAATAATAGTATGCTGCCTTGTCAGCCAATAATAATAATAATAATAATAATAATAATATTTACAATAATAGCATGTCCTCTTGTCAGACAATAGTAATATAATATTGTAATAATAGTATGCTGCCTTGTCAGCCAATAATAATAATAATACTAATATATTATAATAATAGTATGCTGCCTTGTCAGGCAATAATAATAATAATAATAATATATTACAATAATAGCATGTCCTCTTGTCAGACAATAGTAATATAATATTGTAATAATAGTATGCTGCCTTGTCAGCCAATAATAATAATAATACTAATATATTATAATAATAGTATGCTGCCTTGTCAGGCAATAATAATAATAATAATATATTACAATAATAGCATGTCTCCTTGTCAGACAATAGTAATAATATAATATTATAATAGTAGTATGCTGCCTTATCAGCCAATAATAATATAATAGTATGCTGCCTTGTCAGAAAATAATAATACTAATAATAATATATTGTAATAATAGTATTGGCCGCCTTGTGAGCCAATAGTGATAACAATACACCTGCTGCTGCCACCACCTCTTCTTCTTGTGACACCTTGTCAGCCAATAACGACACCTTATGATTCCTCTAGTAATAGTGCCTCATAATAATAATAATAATGAATTAATGAATAATAGGGATGCCCCCCACCTCCTTTCCCTCCCTCCCGAGGAGGCGACCTTGGCAGCCCTCCCCTCTCTCTGGCCAGGCCCCTTCCCCATCCCTTGCCGCCCCTTTTCTCCTCAGGCAGGCATTCCTTTTCACCTCAGGCTCCCCATCATGGCCTCCCTCCCTCCCTCCCCCTGAAGCCCCCCTCCGTCGTGAGGCGCCTCTCTCTCTCTTTGGGCTCACCTTCCTCGGCGGGGGCTGCATGGCGGCGGCGGGGCCGCTCTGGGCCTCCACATCAATCCCTTCCCCGCCCTGGACGGCGGCGGCAATAGTAATAAGAAGAGCGGCAAAGAGAAGGAGACGCCAGACGCGGTCCTTCTTCTCCTTCTCCTTCTTCTGCAGCAGCAGCCGAAGCGAGCGGAGGGAGGGGCGGCGCGAGGATGAGGAGGGGGCGTGGCCGGGAGAGAGGGGGCGTGTCCAAATTGGGAGGGCGCGCGCGGACAGTATGTGCGCGCGTGAGAAGCTCGCGCCACCTAGCGGTCGACAGGGAGTTGGCTGATGGAGGGGAAAGGGGGCGTGGCCGAAGAAAGGCTGGAAGGAATGGGAGCAAGACACACTCTGGAGGAAACATAAGTGAAAGGGAGGCGTGGCCAAAAAAAACCCACGTAAGGGGCGTGGCCAATATGGAGGGGCGTGGTCAAGGAATTGTCCATTTTCTTCACTCAGTAAAGGAGAGAGCGTGAAAGAGTGCGCGTGCGCAGAAGGGTCGAGGAGGGGAACCAGACAAGGCAATGCCGCACACTCTGGAGGAAAAAAAAAGGTGAATGGGAGGCGTGGCCAAAACGGAAGGGGGCGTGGCCAAGAGGGAAGGGGCGTGGTCAAAGAATTGTCCATTTTCCTCAGTAAGAGAGAGAGTGGAAGAGTGCGCGTGCGCACAAGGATCGAGGAGGGGGGAAAGGACAGTGAGAAAGGGGCGTGGCCGAAAAGGGGCGTGGTCAAGAGACTCGGTAAAGGAGGTAGAGAGAAAGAGTGCGCGTGCGCAGAAGGATCTCCGAAAAGAGGAAAGGGAGCGAAGGGGCGTAGCCTTTAAAGAGGGCGTGACCAAGGGGGCTGTATTTCTCCTTGTAAAAGAGAGAGCGAGAAAGAGGGAAAGGAAAGGGAGACAAGGGGGCGTGGCCGAAAGGGGGCGTGGCCGAAAGGGGGCGTGGTCAAGGACCTGTCTCTCACTTGGTAAGTGTTTCTCTCACTTGGTAAGGGAGAGAGAGAGTGAGAAACTGCGCGTGCGCAGAAGGATCTCCGAGGAGAGGAAATGGAGAGAAGGGGCGTGGTCTTAAAAGGGGGCGTGGCCAAGGGGTTGCATTTCTCTTTGTAAAAGAGAGCGAGAAAGAGGGAAAGGAAAGAGAGGGAAGGGGCGTGGCCTAAAAGGGGGCGTGGTCAATGACCTGTCTGTTTCTCTCACTTGGTGAGGGAGAGAGCGAGAAAGTGTACGCGTGCGCAGAAGGATCTCCGAGGAGAGGAAAGGGAGAGAAGGGGCGTGGTCTTAAAAGGGGGCGTGGCCAAGGGGTTGCATTTCTCTTTGTAAAAGAGAGCGAGAAAGAGGGAAAGGAAAGAGAGGGAAGGGGCGTGGCCTAAAAGGGGGCGTGGTCAATGACCTGTCTGTTTCTCTCACTTGGTGAGGGAGAGAGCGAGAAAGTGTACGCGTGCGCAGAAGGATCTCCGAGGAGAGGAAAGGGAGAGAAGGGCTGTGGCGTTAAAAGGGGGCGTGGCCAAAAGCGAGAACGAGTACGCATGCGCATCAGAATCTCCGAGGAGGGGGAAAGCAAAGGGAGAGAAGGGGCGTGGCTTAGAAGGGGGCGTGGCCAAAGAACTGGATTTCCCTCACTTGGTAAGGGAGATAATGAGAGAGTGCGCGTGCGCAGAAGGATCTTCCGAGGAGGCGGAAGAAAATGGAGGGAAGGGGCGTGGCCTAAAAGGGGGCGTGGTCACGAGATAATGAGAAAGACAGCGCGTGCGCAGAAGAATCTTACGAGGAGGGAAAGGGAGAGAAGGGGCGTGGCCAAAGGACTGCCCATTTCACTCACTTTGTAAGAAAGAGAGCGCATGCGCAAAAGGATCTCCGGCCTCCCCACCTTAGGGAGAGGTCCCTAAAGAAAGCGGGAGAAGAGGGCGTGGTCTGGTTTGGTCACGCCCCCATATAGGCCACGCCCGTTTTCTCTATTATCGGTGAAATGGCGAGACAAGGCATCTTCGCGCCCCTTTAGTAGGAGGGGCTTGAAGAGTAGAAAGGGGGCGTGGCAACAGAGGGCTTGGTACATAGGGAACAAGTGGAATAAATGACAGAAAGAGCCAATAGCGAGGGAAGGGGCGTGGCCAAGGGATAAGGAAAGAGAGAGACAGCCAAAAGGGGGCGCTGCCGCCTAATTAAGGGAAAACACAACTGTGCGTGCGCAGGGGGAGAATTTGAGCGGAGAATGTGTGCGCATGCGCTCATCTCACACTGGCTGGCTATAAAAGCCCTCCCACCTCGCTGCCACTGCGCATGCTCGGTCTGCTTAGCTCTTCCCTCCTGTCTCCTATTGGCAAATCCGAAAGCTAGGCTCTTACCTCTCTCTAGTGGCCAGATGCTGAAGTAGGCAGCCTGGCAGTCTCTTTGCCCTGGGAAGAATTATAGAATCAAAGAGTTGGAAGAGACCTCATGGGCCATCCAGTCCAACCCCATTCTGCCAAGAAGCAGGAATATTGCATTTAAATCACCCCTGACAGATGGCCATCCAGCCTCTGTTTAAAAGCTTCTAAAGAAGGAGCCTCCACCACAATCCGGGGCAGAGAGTTCCACTGCTGAACGGCTCTCACAGTCAGGAAGTTCTTCCTCATGTTCAGATGGAATCTCCTTTCTTGTAGTTTGAAGCCACTGTTCCATTGCGTCCTAGTCTCCAAGGAAGCAGAAAACAAGCTTGCTCCCTCCTCCCTGTGGCTTCCTCTCACATATTTATACATGGCTATCATATCTCCTCTCAGCCTTCTCTTCTTCAGGCTAAACATGCCCAGCTCCTTAAGCGCTCCTCATAGGGCTTGTTCTCCAGACCCTTGATCATTGTAGTCGCCCTCCTCTGGACACATTCGAGCTTGTCAATATCTCTCTTGAATTGTGGTGCCCAGAATTGGACACAATATTCCAGGTGTGGTCTAACCAAAGCGGAATAGAGCATGGGGAGCATGACTTCCCTAGATCTAGATGCTCCTATTGATGCAGGCCAAAATCCCATTGGCTTTTTTTGCCGCCACATCACAAGAGTGCCAGATGTTGTCCTGTGGAATGAATGAAGCTGCCAAGTCAAGCAGTGCAGGCATCTGTATAGAATTCGCCCTTGAGCGCTCTAACTGGAGGTCAGCTGTGACCAGCAGTGCTGCAGAATTCGAAGAGGCACGAATGGAGGGCGAAAGGGAGAAACGTGCCAAGAGGAAGGAGCATCAAGCCAACACTGACCGGGACCATCTTTCGTAGCTCTTGGATGATGGTCTTCCCGATGTGGTAGGGGGCTGTGGAGGCCGATTCTTGATCCACATGTTCTCCTGCAGTGAGGACATCGGTTTCCAATGGAATGCGGTCCCGGTCAGGTTTGGCATGATGTGCATTTCTCTTGGCACGTTTCTCCCTTTCGGCCTCCATTCG